TCTATTTTATAGATCCCCTGAGGCGTATCTAATCAAGGCATTCCGAAAATCTACCACATCTTTTTTATTCTTCGACATCTTCTTGAAGTGGTTTCTCAAGTATAACACGAAAATCGTGTCCAATATAGCACAGTCTTGTCTAAACAAGAGAGTATACTGTTTGGCACGCTCTCGAATATGAAAAAGCGCTTCATCTATATGCTATCATAAGAGTATAATGTTTATTAGATTACTTAATATCATGTTTTTCAAAAGTTAAATATTGAATAACTTTTTTTTAAATAGTTTACCTCACTACTGAGCCAACGATCGTTCACAAGATCATCGAAAAACTTTTTTCGTGCTACACCACCACAGGACAACTCAACTTCAGCACTACATAAGAAATTTATAAATTAAACAAAGACATACAAAGCATATATATTATAGTAAGTAACCCACAATTAACTTAACACAATTACATACCTTTCAGGGGAATTCATCAACCACGTTTGGAGATCTTCAAATTTAGCTGGATCCACTGGCCTATGAGGGTCGTACTCCGTCACAGTTGTAAATTTTTTTCTCTTTTCAATATTCCTCCACGGAGTACGTAGAACGGCAGCCTTTCTTTTCTTCCGGTGCCCTCTCCCCTTAGGAGACTCAGGTGGATCATCTTAATCGGTATTCTCCAACTCAATTGCTGCCGCCGTATCGTCTTTAACAGTGTTCTCCATCTCAATTGTTGTCGGCGGCAGTTGTCTCTGATCGTACACAACAATGGATGATGACGGGTGGCTCACAAAACCTAAAATAAGTAAGAAAACAATCAATACTATTTTATTTACAAGAATCCACCGTCATATTACATAGTAGTTACAAATATACTTTACATACCCGCATCATCATGAAGTCCAGCCATTTCTTGTTCGGGCATCGGAGATGGTGATTTCATCGTGTCTGCGAAGTAGAAAAATAATCAAATAGTTCAATAACATGATTTGCATTTTTTTTAAAATAATTTTTTTACTACAAAAAATATTAAAATGATCGAGTAATAATATTAAAATAATGCACTGATATATATAAAAAAAAATTACTTGGGTCAACGGTCTCCGTATCCCGCACATTTTGCTCCACCTCATCATCCGGGTCATCATATGTCCCATCATAAGTACCTCGGGTAGATGGTTTATCTTTTGCTTCAAAAAACACGTTCTTCATTCTCTCGAACAAATTGTCCATCTTCATCTCCATCTTCGTCTCCATTTTCTCTGAAATCATTTTCATCTCGTCCTTCAACACTTTCCTCACCTCTTCCTGCACTATTGTCCTCACCTCGTCCTTCACCACTTTCCTCAGTATACTTGCGATCTTTTCTTCATC